TACATCTAACAAATACCAAATTTCTTATATATATATATTGGCCAAATTCTATCCATAAGCCATTCTGACTCTTCAATACCTATACTCTGCATGAAAATCTGCCTGTGCCAATGAGTTCACAAAAGGTTTTCTTTTTTCTTTCTTTTTGTTTGCAGTGTATAAAGCTTGCAATAGATCTTAAAGAGCCTGTTCTATCAACTTACAGATTTTAACTAACTCAATACAGATTTCAACTAACCAACAATAAGCTCTAAAACTAAGTTTATTTAAGTATTTAGCATGAGCTCAATGAAAGTGAAATTAGCCATTTATACATAGGCTAATCTATAAGGAAATTAACAATATTTCACATTTCTTCTAATTAATGGTCTTTTTGTGAATATGCATTGCCTACCAATGTCAAATTATCTATTATTTGAATGTATAACTTTCTAAAGAGTAGCATTTTTTGCATATTTATGTGTCCTAAAAGAGAACCCCCTTCATTTTTCCATCTCTCGGCCTCATGAAAGGCTACCTCTAGTATTTGTGACAGAGGAAGCTGAGTTTTGTGGTTGATTATATCTTCCTGGTTACAATCTAGAACTATCAGAGTTTTGCAATGATAGTAACAGCAACAACTAACCCTTGCTTGGAATAACAGCCTTTCATCATTATCCTCAGTTTCTATCTGGGAAAACTGAGTATTATTTTCAGGCAGTCTTCCTGCTAGTACTGGCAAGAATGGCGACATAAATCCATCCCTTTTGATTCCAAAGTGGTGTATATTTTGGCTGGGCATGGTGGCTCACGCCTGTAATCCCAGCAATTTAGGAGGCCAAGGTGGGCAGATTACTTGGCGAAACTCCGTCTCTACTGAAAGTACAAAAATTAGCCAGGCGTGGTGGTGAGTGCCTGTAGTCCCATCTACTCAGAAGGTTAAGGCAGGAGAATCACTTGAACCCAGGAAGAGGTGGAGTCTTCAGTGAGCCAAGATCATGCCAGTGTACTCCATCCTGGGCAACATAGCAAGACTGTGTCAGAAAGAGAGAGAGAGAGAGAGAGAGAGAGAGAGAGAGAGGGAGGGAGGGAGGGAGGGAGGGAGGAAGGAAAGAAGGAAGGGAAAGAAGAGAGAGAAAGAAAAGAGAGAGAAGGAAAGAAGGAAGGAAAGAGGAAAGAAAAAAAGAGAAAGAAAGAAAGAAAAAGAGAGAGAGAAAGAAAGAAAGAGAGAGAGAGAGGGGGAGGGAGGAGGGGAGGAGGGAAGGAGGGAAGGAAGGAAGGAAGGAAGGAAGGAAGGAAGGAAGGAAGGAAGGAAGGAAGGAAGGAAGGAAGGAAGGAGGGAAGGGTGTTATTCTTTTAAATTAGTGACCAAAAATAAAACGACATGATCAGTGTTCTTTTTAATAACTCACACCTGAGAATCAAATTCATTAACAGTCAACTTGTGCAGACCATGGCAGGTTTCACCCCAGCCTAAAGGAGTTTATTTTTAAATGCATGCCTTGTGCATAGTTTTTCCTCGAATATATATTTCACAAGTCCTTCCACACCTTCCCTGATGAGAGAAGGCAATTAAGACTAGACAATGGCATGATTTACAAAAAGCAATTTATGAAAGGTAGCCTCACTAATGTTTTGCTTCCGGGCTTTTCGATAGGGTGTTCTTCTTGCCTGGAATACTTGTTCCTTCTCCACATTCAGTTCTCTTTGCCTAACTAATAGCTACTTCTAAGTGAGGCGTCAGCATTGACCTCATCATGTTCTTCAGAAACCCTTCATTCGTTCCTCAGTCCTGGATTAGGTGACCTTCCATGCTCTCCCATAGCATCCTGACTTCACCCCTACACCAGCCCCACCATTCTGTATTATCACTTTCCATTGGTTTATTTATATTCCCCAGGAGCAGGCCATGAGGCCCGTGCTAACATAATAATATTCATTATGTATGTACTTCCAATACCTAGCAAAATGCCTGGAATTTTGGATGTTAATAAGTATTATTGAATGAGTATCATGTATCATTGCTAATATTTTTAAAAACATATCTACACTAATTTAACAAACATTTTCTCCCCACAACTATAGGATATAAAATACAAATTGAAGTGTACTAGTTCTTGATTATCTGGGGATCTGACCTCAAGAAAAACATTTAGCTTCTCCAGAGGGTCTTCATTTATAAAATAAAAATGTTGAAGTAATTAGTATCTAAGATCCATTTACAGCTCTGAAGTGCCAATCTTAAATTTTACTTCAAGTGGATGAAGATGAAGAAAACTAGCATAATGAAGGAAGGTATTGTGTAAATTGGATCTGTTCTGAGCTTCCTGATGAAATTCTGTCCAACTTTAAAGGAAAAGGAAATAGTTGACTTCAAAAAACTGTTTATAGTTTATCATTGAAAATTTTCCACTGGTTTAGCTCTTATTTTAAATGTCATAAATTAATAGGCCTAGAGAGAGCTAATGTCATATTCAGAAATCAACCTTTGCAGACATTTTGGTTGAAAAAGTATTTAATAAGCCTGAAACTCTGTTTGGTTCCTTAATAATGTTATTATTAACTATTTTGTCAACATCTGTTAAATGCTGACTATGTGCCAGATGTGGTTGAGCCTGGAGCTAGGGTGGTAATGTCACTTTTGGGGAAGAGGCCATTTCAGAATTATGAAACCAACATTTTACCACATTTGAGTCATTTGCAAAGTGCACTCACAGCTACCAAAATACTCCTGTGGAAAGGGGGTAACATTGCTTTTTCAAAGTTTATACAATCTTTTAGACATAATCGAGGCAAGAAAAATCTCATCCTTGTTAATTAACTAGCAGTGAACATAAGAAATCAGAACATTTAATAAACATTTAAAATGAAAAAACAGAAAAATCTTTGAAGGAATATGTTTAAGAAAAAATACCCAGATATATGGTCATGATTTGTAATCTCACTTTTACAAATATATCCAACACCAGTAAATAACTCTTCTTTAGTTTTGCTTTGCGCTTTTCTAAGGAGTTTTATGGCCATTAGCTCATGCAACACTCAAGTGGAATACCTGTTAGAGGGCCTTACTAACATTCCCTTAGGCTAATGTATCTGACACTACCCAGTAAGTATTTCCCTTCTTCTTAGGTTTTCCAGCCAGCATTTGAAAAGCCTGTATATGACACAGAGCCTACAAGAAAAGGAATGTGACCACACCCTCTTTAAATGAAACAAGTAATAAGCGGACCTTCTTATTTTAAATAGCACGAGCAAGCATAACATTTATTTTTAATTTAAATACCATGAGCAAACCTAACATATATTTTAAAATGTTTGTTACAGAGGACATGATTACCACTTTGAGGTCTGATCTATCTCGTTTTCCTTACAAAAGAGGAAAATAAATTATGAAAGTCCTACTATTTTGAAACAGTTCCCTGCAGCCCACTCTTATCACTTTTGTTCTTACCCCCAAAAAGCAGCCCCCATCATGATTTTTCTGTAAAACACACACAGCTCTTGGGAAGAAATATTTCAAGGGGAAGAAAAGGAAAAACACATTCTTTAAAGGCTACCAAAGGAAAAGCACATTCTTTCCTTCTTTCTCATGGTAACTTACCAAGAGTACAATGAGCCAGCATTAAGCAAACTTATCATATTTTTACTCGTATTTGTTAACTAAGAAGAACAAAAACATTGTAATTTGTGATTCCTAAAATATAAATATCCAATGTAATTCTAAAGAAAGATTTATGAATGACTTATCATGTTAAATGCAACTAACTATAAATCCTGTAGAAGCAGTAACATTTAACATAGTGATGAGAAAAGTTTTTAAAACAACCAAAACTAACTAAAAGGAAAACCAAGACTTACCTTTATCTCTACCTTCTTGCAAAGAACTAAGGGGAAATTCTTCTCTGAAGATTTCACACTAGCGGTGGAGACTTGGGCTCCTGATTTTATAGGATTTGAAAGGAAGCCACACCTAGCAACCAGAAGTTAGTAATTGGCTGCCTTCTGTTTGAAGTACGTGGCTCAGCTATGTCCAAAAACAAAGTGAAACAAGTCTTGCAAAACTACTCACTAAACCAACTCAACTGGCATTACAAAGGAAAAGAAATGGAAGGACTGATTTTTCCTCCCTCTGTATTTTGCACTTTTATTTCCAGATGGTATATTTATTTTGCACTTTTATTTTCAGAGTATACATCTGCCCCAATCCTAATACCACTGATTGGCACACTTTTGTAGTTAAATAGGTTGTAGACTAAAAAAAGTATGTTACCTTTAAAACTCAACAAACAAAAGTTTACATTTGAATTCCACCTCCACTTATTATTCTGTGACTTTAGGGGCATATTTAATTTTTCTGAACCTGTTTTTACTTTTGTTTTGTTGTCTGTTTTTTCCCTCCCTTTTAGTGGAGAATGGGTTCTCGTTATATTGCCCAGGCAGGTCTCAAACTCCTGGGCTCAAGCTATCCTCCTGCCTCTGCCTCCCTAAGAGTTGGAATTACAGGTGTGAGCCACCATGCCTAGCTGTTTTTACTTTTGTATATAGGAGCATTATCTAAGTTGTCTACCCACTAGAATTCTTGTGACAATGGAGAAATAACATATATTTGTAAATTTTAATATTACACAGTGCCGAATGACTTTCTATTTATATTTTTCTTGCCTTCAAAAACAAAAGACTTTTGTTCCTAGATATAGCTTGTTGTTATAAGAAATATAGAAGTAATGAAGTTCCAGATTGGCTCAAAATTTTGAACAAAGGTAATGCCAAAAATTTGATCATTATGATATTCAATAAAAGCATTGACATTGAAAGGCCTATCTACATTAATTCTTTTAAATAGAGTCAGTTACATAGAACTGTATATATAAATTGTAATATAGATCAGTTATGCATAAATTCTGATATGAATAGATCTTTGACATTGTAAACTAGTTGAACAACAAAACAAGGAACTAGACCTATGAAATGAAAAGATTATTGGAGCAGCAACTATTACAGAACACAATCCATAAGAAATGTCCCACCTGATGGAAGGAAAATTGGTTCTGGTAACTTCCATAGTGGCTCATTTTCATTCTTCGTGAAACCCTACAAAATATTATACGATGTTTCCATTAAAGTGCACAAGTGTAAACTCTCACAGCATTATGGCTCAATTTATGCTACATTTAGTGGTTTGTTCTTTTCCTCTTTTCCTCATAGATATCTCAGGTAAAATACATCAAGTTGAGGAAGTTAATGAAAATACTTTCTAAAGATCGGCAGTATTTTAAATTACAGTCTAAGTTCTCAAGGCCAATATCAATGAAGTCAACATATCCTGAAGTAGGACGATCATCTAATCTAAATATTTCAGAAAATGTCAATATATGGTTTTACTATCATATGTGTAAGTTGAAAAGTAATTAGTTATCTGCTAACAAGTTAACTGATACTGCAAATTGATTTTGACAAATGTAGACTAACTTTCTAATACCATATTTATGTCATCAGGTGAGAAGGAATAAGATAATTATACAAAATCTGGTTTTCTTTTTGTCTTTAATTTGCATTTGTATTCCTAACTCTGGTAATGGAACCATTGGAACATTCCTGTACAGTGACGCTCTTGTGAAATGAAGAAAAAAGTTCACTTACTTTTTATAAAATATAACAACCTAGAAAACATATATAGTCTCATTTTGTTTTGTGGCTGCTATTACCAGTGCCATAAACTGAATGGAATTATTTTATATATTTGGATTTGTAATACATAGACAAACCTAAAATATCAACAATAAACATGGTAATTGTAGCAGAATTAAGAAAAAAACTGAAAAGAATGTTTTTCCAAAATTAACTTCCAGCTGTAACACTAAAGGCAAGTGAAACGCCTAAACATAAAACAAAAAGAAAACCACTAATCATCTAGGTACATTGCTGTGAATAATCTGTCAGAATCTTTTTCTTCACACAATAATAATGTCGAGTAGATTTATGGAAATAAAAGAACAAGTAAAATACGTTATCATTAACAGTTAGGGGATAATCATGGGTTAAATGTTTTTTTGTGGGTGAAACGCCACATACTCCAGAGAAATGACTCACCACTCTTGCTGTTTCTAGAAGATGATGATTCATCGGCTCCACTTACTTTACAAACAGAGAAAATAAAGAAAGAGAAGGAAAGAAAAAAGGCAGTTAAAATCAATCACTATATGTTACATTTTTCACGGCATGTTTATTTTCACTCATTTGGTTTAGAATCTGATAGTGAAGAGGAAACAAAACAAAACAAGGAGAGGAAATATGGAGTCTCTCACATACATCTCATTGTGCATAAGACTCTTGCAAAATATCTGATCTTAGTAAGCTGCCCCCTCATCCTTTACGTTCAACTCTATCTAAGCATTACTTGTTATATGGAAGAAAGGGTATATTCTGAATGATCAAGAACAGCGTTTCACTGAAATTCCAAAATCTCCCCACAGCTTCCTCATACCCCTATCCACAGCCAGTGAAAATCATTATTTTAGCGTGTATTTCTCATGTGTCCCCAGGTCAAAGCATTTTGAGAACTAGTGATATAAATGTTTTTCCCTTTGCCTCTTAACATGGCAAATAATTATCACACACACACTGAGTTATTGGGATTCTTCTTATTATTATTCCTCAGTTATTCACATAAATTAAAGACAGAATTTTTTTCACATTCTACTCTTTCAGGTTAATGAAGTAGTCACATGGGTAGCGAAAGCCAAAGGGAGGTACCTTTGTTGGACTTCACTTAGGGAAAAAGATCTTACCTCCCTGCCTCTCTATGTTTCCTTTTGTGGGTGGAATATCTTAGAGAAGACAAAAACTCAAATTCAGTGATGGCTTAGTATCTATCACTGGGTGACTTAGGAAAAGTCAGCCAATGACTTGGTGATTCAACTATTATACTTCCAACATCAGGATCATGCTAGGATTAGTAATTTTGTATTTCACAAGTCTTTTTCTATTTCCCTGAATATAGTATCCATATCCCTCTCTATATTATTCTAAAGTAAGAGAATAAGACCTTGTCACATTCACTATGATGACAAATTTTACTTCAATACATTTTCAAGAAGTTTTACAGAAGGAAAATTAAGATATGTGTTAAGGTCAAAAGGTCAAACTCTGCTTTCTAGGTTCCAGCTGTTTTAAAATAGTCTAGCAGTTACGTACAAACGTAAACACAGTCTTACAGTGCAATCTAGCAATTGTGCTCATAGATATTTACCCAAATGAGTTAGGAAATCACGTTTACACAAAAACCTGAACATGTATGCTTACAGCAATTTATTCATAATTACCAAAAATCGGAAGCAGCTGAGATATTTCTCAAGAGGTAAATGAATACATAGACTACAGTACATTTATATAATGGAATATTACTCAATGATAAAAAGAAATGCTTTTAAACGAGGAAAAGAAATGAAGGAATCATAAATGAGTATCGCTAAGAAAAGGAAGCCAGTATGAAAAGGCTATGTCTGTTTCTTTCCAATAAGATGCATTCCGGAGAAGGTAAACTATAGAGAAATTAAAAAGATCAATGGTTGCCAGGAGTTGGTGGCAGAGAGGAGTAATAAATAAGAGATTTTTAGGGAAGTGGGCTGGGTATGGTGGCTCACACCTTTAATCCCAGGACTTTGGGAGGCCGAGGCGGGCGGATTATCAGGTCAGGAGTTCAAGACCAGACTGACCAACATGGTGAAACCTCGTCTACTAAAAACACACACAAAAAATTAGCTGGGCCTGGTGTTGCACGCCTGTAGTCCCAGCTACTCAGGAGGTTGAGGCAGGAGAATCACTTGAACCCAGGAGGCAGAGTTTGCAGTGAACCAAGATTGTGCCACTGTATTCCAGCCTGGGCAACAGAGCGAGACTACGTCTCAGAAAAATAAAAGAGATTTTTAGGGAAGTGAAACTATTCTGTGTGATACTATAATGGTGTTTACATTTGGCAAAACGCATAGAAATGTATAACATGAAGAGTAAGCCCTAATGTAAACTATGGCAATTAGCTAATAATAACGTATTCACCAATATAACAAATGGACCACAACATTCCAAGACATTAGTAATAGGGGAAACTAAGAGCAGGCGAAAATTGAGTATATGAGAATTCTCTGTACTTTCTGCTCAATTTTTCTGTAAACCTAAAATTTCTCTAAAAACTAGAGTCTATTAATGAAAAAGAAGAAAGTTCATTTGATTATATACTTTCTAAGATATACCAGTACCATATAATTTCTAATACAATAATTCAAAAATTGTTATGTAATCAGAACACAAAAAATACAGTAAGTCTTCACATAATCATTGACAACTCCATGGATTTATCACATGAACCAAAGATTCATATCCTTCAATTTAATAATTTTGTTTTCAATTTCTATTTTAACTCAATAGGTTTAAAAAGTGATTTAAAACAATTATTTAAACTGGAATAGTTAAACAAAAGCTGGATCCTTATACTATATTAAAAAATAAAAAACATGGATCTGGATGGATCTAGAATTAAAATGGGAGTAAATATATAAAACAAACTATAAACTTTACAAGATATTCTGTAAATATCTTGTAGCTAAATTTGTAATGAAAGGTTTCCAGACCAAGTCACAATAAATGTTTGCTTTGCATTGGTTGGGGTGGATTTTGGTTAACTTTATTATAAATAGATTATTATCCAATAGAAAAATGACATTTTCTTTCAAAGAGAAACTTGATAAATCCTAAATCTCATTTTCTCATTTACAAGTCGAATATGATTATACTTTGTTAAAAGTAACTTGCAAAAGATCACTATTCAGGATGATCTATTCTGGGAATAATATACATAATCTCTGTGTTGGGAGACTCTAATCTGTGGCTGAAAGCCTGCTATTATAAAAGAAGTGAGAGGTGTTTTGAATATAGGCAAATAAAAATCCTCAAGTGGAAAAAATAAGCAAAATCAGTAGATTCTTTTTTTTTTTTTTTTTTTTGAGACGGAGTCTTGCTCTGTAGCCCGGGCTGGACTGCAGTGGCCGGATCTCAGCTCACTGCAAGCTCCGCCTCCCGGATTTACGCCATTCTCCTGCCTCAGCCTCCCGAGTAGCTGGGACTACAGGCGCCCGCCACCTCGCCTGGCTAGTTTTTTGTATTTTTAGTAGAGACGGGGTTTCACCGTGTTAGCCAGGATGGTCTCGATCTCCTGACCTCGTGATCCGCCCGTCTCGGCCTCCCAAAGTGCTGGGATTACAGGCTTGAGCCACCGCGCCCGGCCAAAATCAGTAGATTCTTACAACAACTTCAAATTTCTTTACATGCACTAACAAAGTGTTACCATCTACATTGTACCAGGAGCTCTTATAAATTGTAAAGCAAGCAACCCAAACAACAACAAAAATGGATGAAACCTGAGTACAGTCAAATGCCTCTGAGTCAGCAGATATGCAAATCCACATTGCCAAACAAACAGCAAAAGTTGTTCACATTTACAGTGGTGAGAGAAATAGTGTTTAAAGAAATGACCGGATATGGATATATACCCATCAGGCTGGTGATCACCTCAAATTTTCTGTAACACCTTTACTGGCAATAATGGTAAATACTATTAGAAAAGGATACACTCATATACTGCTGGTGCTTGTTTGCTTGTTGGTTTGAGAGTCATTTGGCAGCAACTAATAAAATAAAAAACACACAGAAGAAGATAATTAAGAGGGGCAGAAAGCAAGCCAAGAGAATGTCATCCTGATGAAGCAACTGTAGGCAAAAGTGTCAGGAAGAAAGCTGTGAAAAACATTGCCAAAGGATACAAAATGGTCTTTTAGAAAGAGGCTCTAAAAGGAAGTCATTTAGAAATGGCTCTAGTACTTGGAAATTAAGAAAGAGGTGGTAGTATTAAGGATAAAGGGTTTTGGAAACACACTGGAGAGAAATTGAGAAGACCGTAGGAGCTGAGGATTTGGAGTTAAGTGTAAGCAACTCTTAGACATACACGCTTTCACTAAATGGTGGAAAACCGAAAGAGAGTAACAAGATAATAATTGTGAGGTAGCATTGGGAAGTCTGAACATGTTTTCAGGTAGACCATAAGGAGCTATAAAGGAAGAGGGAAGTCACAGGAAAACAAACAAACAAACAACAACAACAAAACAGAATAGTTGATGGAATAAGCTTCCAGAATATTTGGGAGAACAGGTAAACTGGTACAGAGAAACAGTTACTAGCCTTCGAGATGAGGGCCATTCCTTTCACTCAGGATCTCCTCATATCTTCCTTTCCTGGTTGGAGATTTGATAGGAGGAAAGAGATGAACCCTAGTCCTCTGGTGGGACAAATAGAGTAATGGTGAGGGGCAGAGACTAAGAAACAGCACTGGCAAGAATTTTCAAAGGGAAGATGATGTGAAGACATAGAGAGAAGACAGTCATCCACAGCCAAGGAGAGAGGCCTGGGGCAGATATTTCCCTCATGGCCTCAAAAGGAATCGACCCTGCTAACTTCCTGATAATGGGCTCGTAGCTTCCAGAACTGTGAGGAAATAAAATTCTGTTAAGCCACCCGGTCTGTGTAGAGTTGGGTCTAGACGCTTGTATGGTCTTAAGGGAGGCAATGGATGGGCCAGAATGTCTCTTTCGTGAAGTAGCAGTGCACCTACAAATCTAAAGATCACCAAAAAGTCCCTTGATGTGCACCTCCAAGAACATGCAGAATTGGTTACAATTGAAGTGAAAAGACACCTTTTTTGCACTATTTTGGACAGTAAGTGCCCAGTAGAATAACCCTTTGACTGATTTTTGTTCTTGATATCTTGAAGTATTGATTATTATAAAGAATTTTGCAAGTAGTTGCCTAGGCTGGTCCAAGTATATTGGTGTTTACAACTAATTGAACACAATCAGTTACAGATTTCATTGTTCCTTCTCCACTCCCACTGCTTCACTTGACTAGCCTAAAATAAAAAATAAATAAATAAAATAAAATAAAATAAAATAAGACTTTGCCGAGAGTATTTGGTTATCTCGGATTTTGACAAGGCCCCAAAGCAAACTATTTCACTTTAATGTTGCAAAACAGATGTAACCATAGTTTAAAGGTAACAATGCTTAAATTTTGTAACAACACATCTTTTTTTTTTCTACATGCATAATGATAGCAAGGGATATAAGACAAATTTTAATAACCAAATAATTTAAAATAAAATGTCTTGCAATGTAATTGTACAGAAATATTAAAAGTGACACTTGTGTAGCTACTTAGTATACAAAAATCATTCTCTTTTCAAGTATTTGTATTTTTTATATATCTATACAATTATGGAAGGCCACAAAACTGCCATAAAAAAGAGTAAAAATATAACATAAGAAGGGGGATAACCTGCACCCTTTACATAACTATGATCATCTTTAAGCTCAAAGCCAAACATGCAAATTCTAACATTTTCCCTAAATCTGATACATAACCAGGAGTCCTTTGGAGAGACTAAAAATAAGCAAAATGTGAAAAAGAAACAATTCTAAATTCCACATGTAATAGCCAGATTCAGAAGAACTCCGAGAAATTTAAATTCAGCTAATGGGTTTACAGTGGTCAATCCAGAGAATTAAAGATTCTTAGCCTCCATCAGAAACTCCTTTTCCTATTTGAAACTGTATCCTGTTGCCTGGTTAAGGTTTGGCATTTTTAAGAAGCTGTGGCAGGTGCTTATAATATGCACATTGCAGTTTTATTTCCATCTGGGTGAACAAGAAGTCAGCTGCCTGGAGCTGAGACTTATTTGCTTATGGACACAGGTAAATTTGCTTAAAGTGTTCTAAATGTAAAGAGAATAAAGGTTTAGTTGGGTGAAGGAGGAGCACCAAAAACTCACTGGGATTAGAAATGATGGGTTAGGCAAATATTTTCATAGTATTTGATATTTGCAATATGGA